GGTGAAAGCCCTAGCTCCAATCAACCTTTGATGTTGGAGTAGAGTACTGATTGACTACTGACACCTGGACTTCGTGAGCTTGTCAGAGCTACGTAGGTGTGACGTGCCAGATAATAGACAAGAAGTTTGTGCAGCACACCCACTCTCACATGTGATCAAACAACCGAAGAGAACATTCGCCAGTTTCTGCAGAATGTGATTAAGGACTGGGAACTTCTAGAAGATTTGCCAACCTATATTGCCACTGACAATGACAGAAACTTTGTCGCTGCTGTGGAGCATTTGCAGTGGCACAGGGTTTAGTGTTTTGGCCACACTCTACAAGTTTGCATCACTGACACAAAGAAGCATGCACCTGGATTCTTTCAGCTGTGTGCATAGGCACGTTCAATAGTTGGCCACTACAAAAGCACCCGAGCACGTGCTCAACTCCAAGACATGCATAAAATATATGGAGATGGAACCCCTCGAAGTCATGCAAGACGTGCCTACGAGTCCAGGCTCCTTAAGCTTCGCATTGCCATCTCTGCAGAGCTTTCTGAGTCAGACAGTGTGGAAAACCTGTCATCTGCCAAGTGGAAGCTAATGGCTGGGCTGGTCAGTGTACTTCAGCCCATTCAGCAAGCAATAACGGAACTCCCTGCGACCAAATATCCAACACTCTCAAAGGTGATTCCTTTGCTAGAGTGCACCGAAGAAGAAGAAGAAGGAACTTAGGTGTTTAATGGCACAGCGGCAACTAAGGCCAGTGTGCCAAACATAAGGTAAGTTAAAGGCAATACTGAAAAGACCTATAGTAGGTAGTTCCATCTTAAAACTATGGAAAATGAATGATTAAAACCTTACAAGATACAGGCCTATTAAGGCCTCCAGAAATTTTAACCAATGCTACACTAACCAGAGGCACTCTAAAGGAATTTCATTTACGCAAGGAAGTATGGAAAATGTGCCGACGATACAAGATCGCCGGCTCTCTGCCACCACTAATTTTCAGGTAAACGTAATAGAAAAGAAAACAAACTAAATTTCATAGCCGATGTAGGATGCCAATGCGATCTAAAAACTTAAAAACTTGACGGTGCGGCACAAGAGGTTCGTCACCCAATAATAATGCCGGGTGGAACGGGACGCGATTCCGGAAAAAGGTAGAGAAAAAAGTGGTGCGTTCGTGATGGTACTTAGGACATACGATAAGAATATGCAAGACGCTCAAAGACTCGTTACAGTGTTCACATTTCGGAGCTGCCTCTGCCCGTAGGAGGTACCCATGCGTGAGATGGGTGTGCCCCAGTCTCAGACGACAGAGCACAACCTCAAAGAAGCGCTCCCTGTGTCGGCAACTTGCCCATTCCCGCAGGGTAGGTTTCACACAATGAAGCTTGTTGTGTATTTCCGTGTCCCATTCTAACTGCCACTTTTTCTGGATTGCTGCTTTTTTAAGACTGTGTTTGTAATCAGTGTACGGAGTGTCCATGTCTCGCTTATAACAGCACAACCAACAGCAGAGTCACTCTTAGAACCATCCGTGAAGAAACTCCTAGTCACTGTATGTATAAGCAACCTGGGAAAACTCCTGCTGCAGGGCAGCAACAGGAGTTTGCCGCTTATTATATTTGATCAGAGTAAAATTGATTATGGGTGCTACGCACTCCCAAGGAGCCACCGTCAGTGGAAGTTGGGCAACTAGGCTGAAACTGTCAAGGTTGTAAGCCTGTGAATATGTTTTAATTCTCTGCGTAAAAGGGAGTACGACAGATGGCTTGTTCTGGAATGTACCATAATATCCCGAGTCATCGCCCATCCCCGAGCCATCGCCCACCCCATTTTTTGGGCCAATATCGATTTCCGAAAAAACACCGAGTCATCGCCCACCCCTTCAAATACCCCAGCGCGGACTCTGCGATCCGCGAAAACTCATCCTACCCGAATGACGCGGCCGCGGACCTTACAGTTGGAGGACGTCCGTGACAAAGTAAAACGAAGGAGGGAAAGGCACTTCTTTTTGTTTACGCATTTCCTCCGTGAGCGACCCCAAAGTGGTCGTGTATCCGTGCGAAAAGAAAATGATGGAGATAACAAAATAAGAGTTTGTTAACGTAACCGCGGAGTGTTAGGTCAAAGTCTGTCTCCGCCGAAGTAAGGTCACCGCTAACCCGCTCCTTCTTCCCGCCCGTCGCGACCGCGGTTGTGCAATATTTTAGGCAAAGCCAAAGAGTAAATAAAGATTTGCTGGAACGTCCTACAGAGACGTTTGCAGAGCGTCCCAACCGTGCATTGATAGCCCGCCGTGCACGGACGCACGTATGTACGCACCAAACAAGTTGCGCAAGAGCTTGCAATTGACAAGGCGCCCGACTTGGCCCGACGCCAAAGTATTTGCCAACGCGACCGCCGGCTTTCCCGCTTTCCCAGCATTGCTCTTGGTCGCTTCTTTGGTCCGCTCGCTCGCTCGCTCGCTCGTTGCGCCTGGTCGGTTTTTCTATTTTCTTGTAGACTTTTCTTTTTTTTACTAACTAGGAGAACATAATGGTGACATTCTTTCACGGAACAAACGTTCGCGCTATATGCAGATCGGCGGTGTTTCTAGCGCGTATGGAAGCAACGGACTTCGCTATAGGAAAATATTCTTTCGTGAGCATTTTTTTCTATAAAACAATGAAACTAAATCGAGTTTTGAGTTTGATGTATCTCTTGTGCATCAGCGCTAGATACGCAGAAAAAAATAGGCGGTTTTTTCCGCTTTTTTTTTCAAGTGTTTGTGTTCACCCACCGAGACATGGCCCACCCCACTTTTTTAACGAATTTCAGGCGGTAGGGGGGTGGGCGATGACTCGGGATATTACGGTAGTTTCATAGCGAGAATCCTGAATTGCTTTCTGGATCGGATGAGAAGGGACAGAGCGAATTCTTAATGCATACTGGAAGCCTAAATAAAACCGTCTTTTTTCAAGTGAATATTCATTACTCTCAGCATATAGGCTAGGAATAGGGGACGTCCGAAAAGCACCAGTGGAAAGCCTCAGACCTTGATGGTGGACCGCGTCCAACACCTGAAGGGTAGATTGACGTGCGGATCCATACACTACGCATCCATAATCCAATTTTGAAAGAACCAAGCAGCGATAGAGACGAAGGAGACATTCCCGATCGCTACCCCAAGACTTGTGTGAAAGCACCTTTAGGAGGTTCATTGACCTTGCGCATTTCTGTTTCAGGTAAAGTACATGACTACGGAAATTCAACTTTTTATCAAATATCACTCCTAGAAACTTGTGTTCATTACGAACAGGAATATTGCCTGCCCCCTTAAGGTCAGACTAGGCTCTAGGATCATGCCCCTACGTAAAGAAAAGTTGACACATACTGACTTCTCTGGTGAAAAACTAAACCCATTGGCATCAGCCCACCTCATCAGACTATTAATTCCCAGCTGAAGTTGTCTCTCGCAGACCGAAATGTTACACGAACAGCAAGAGATCTGCAAGTCATCCACGTAAAGAGAATAGGAAAGTGATTGTGGGATAGACTTTCCAATAGAAGTCATTTTTATTAAAAATAGTGTTACGCTAAGAACACCTTGTGGAACTCCATTCTCTTGGACGAAACTACGAGAGAAGGTTGTACCAAGCTTGACATGAAAGTATCTGTCTTCCAAAAAGCTTTTGATGAGTGAGAGCGTTCGGCCACGAATTCCGTACGAGACAAGATCGTTCAAAATTCCATACCTCCATGTTGTGTCATAAGCCTTCTCTATATCAAAGAAAAGAGAAACACAATGCTGTCTATTAACAAAAGCCTCACGAATAGTTTTCTCAAGTCGTACGAGGTGGTCCAGCGTTGTTCTGTGGGCACGGAAACCGCACTGAAACTTGTCGAGGAGGTTATTTTCCTCTAAAAAATGGACCAATCTTGAGTTTACCATTTGTTCGAAGGTTTTCCCTAAGGAACTTGTGAGGGCTATGGGCCGGTAACTTGAGGGTAATGAAGGATCTTTTCCTTGCTTGAGGAGCCGAATAACCTCAGCTCTTTTCCAGGAATCTGGGAAGACCCCTTCTCTCCAGATCTGGTTAAAAAAGCTTAAAAGCGCCTGCAGGGTATTGGAATGCAAATGCTTGAGCATACAGTAGTGAATTCGATCTGGTCCCGGGGACGTATTTTTACTTTTATTTAATGCTGCCTGTAACTCTCGAAAAGTAAAAGGTCTATTATAGGGTTCTCGTAGTCCTCCAGAGCAATTTATTCTCTTCTTCTCTATAACACTTTTACGCTTTAAAAATGCAGCCGAGTAATGCGATGAACCTGATACTGATGCGAAGTGCTCCCCTAGAATATTGGCCTGCTGCTCAAGACTAGGCAGTACACCACCTGGCAGAACAAAAAGCGGTATGGAGAAGGCTCGATAATCCCCATTAATCTTGTGCACTTTTTCCCAGACAACTTTTACACTGGTGTGACTATTAACGGAGGAGGTGTATTTCTTCCATGTCGTCTTTTTTGATTGACGACGGACATATCGAGCCTTCGCCCGAGCCTGTTTGAAGGCTAAAACATTTGGAGGGGTCGGGTACCGGCGTAGCACATCCCATGAACCATTTTGTTTTTTTCGAGTCTCACTGCACTCCTTAGTCCACCAAGGTTTTGGCTTAGCAGGAAAGCGTCCCAGGTGAAAATTTCTAACTGGGATCCAACTGGTCCCAGTTCAACTGGTTTAAGGGACAATTCCCAGTTGCAACTGGTCCCAGTTCCAACTGGGACCAGTTGCAACTGGGACCAGTTGGGTCCCAGTTAGACTGGGACCAGTTGGGTCCCAGTTGCAACTGGTCCCAGTTGGGTCCCAGTTGCAACTGGTCCCAGTTAGACTGGGACCAGTTGGATCCCAGTTGCAGCTGGTCGCACTAGGCGCTAGCTCATGCTTCTGGGTCTAGGACTCAAGTAATGAAACGCTCTATACGCAATCTTTTTTTGTTTATTCAAATGGCCTCAACCAAAGGCTGTGGTGTCTATTCTTGCGAAGCCTGTAGTCGCCTCTCCGCTTTGATCGAATCTTGAATTTTTTCAGTTAAAATGTTGGTCAGGTTTGCCACTGCCGGAGATGCATCCACATCCTTCTTTGTGGCCCAGTGGGATAAGGTAGCTGCAAATGAAATCATAAAATGTTATAGACTTCATAACATTTTGTTCATTTAGTAAACTCACCTATGACAACACCAATCTTTTCTGGAGTTAGAGCAGGCTTCGGCTCTTCACCAGAGTTCTTCTTCTTTGGTGCGAGCACCCCGGACACACTGCGTGCCGCCAGCCCGGCTTGTGTCCAGATGCACTGGGCTGTTTCCTTCACCACCAGTGTCGGTTTTTTTAATTTCATCACTCGCGCCGCCTGGACTGCTGTCAGCGTGATGCCTTTTTGGAGGTGAAGCTGCAAACAGATTGCACAACAGCATGATCTATGTCACAGGTATCTCGTTATTTGCATATCTGAGCAACACAAAATGGAAAAGTAGTAATTTTACAGCAAAAGCTACGCCTCTCGACCACTTGCAAAATTCCCAATAACCAAGGAACATGCTGAAAGTGCAGTGACAATGCTCTCCTTGTCTGCAGAAATGATTCAAAGTAACCAACTGCAATAAGGCAACAGCAAAAGATCATGCAAATTGTTATTTGCTGTAAAAGTTACTGCTGCATACAGCAACACATACGGCCTAAGCTTATTATAACAGAGCTTGATAGTGACAAAGACTTCAGTTGTGTAAAAGGGGCTTGCAGTATGCGGATACGAAGTTTAGTCAATATAGTACAGATGGGAATTGGTATGCTACATTTAAACGGGGGCGTAGCCAGAAGGGGGGGGTGCTTATGGGTCTTCAACCCCCCCCCCTCCCCCCCATTGGTGTATTCTGTGGCGGCCCACTAAAAGGAAGACTTAAGAAGACTGACTCAAGAATTAGGGAAGACTCTGACTCAACTTCTATGAGGAAGAAGTACACTTCACCGGCCGCTCTGCTCGGCCATGGGGGCTTCTTCGTGCGGCTTGCGTTGCGCGGCGGCGCGATTTTGCGGCGCGACACTGGGGCAACCACCCTTCTCCTATCTTTACCTTTCACTCCCCCTCCCCTACCCCAAAACAAAGGTGACATATTGAGCTTCCGGCTCAGCAACACTTCCTTTGATTTCCTTCTCCCAAGACTCTGACTGACTGCCCCTCCCCCCCCTCCCCGCCCCCAACCGACCCTATAATATACACATGCATTTTTACCCCCCCCCCCTCTTCCCAATGCATGGACATCCCAGCCACCTCAGCCCCCGCCACTGCATCCAAAGATATGTTGTCACCAGGACTACTGCAGACAGCAACATATGCAGCACATTCATGAAACTACAAACCCAGCATGCTACCTCTGCTCGGGAATTTTTCAAATCCCAAGCATGAAGATTTTACGAGCCCACAAAAAAGAGAGTCGTGGGCTCGCAAGATATTAAGCTCAAAACTCTATTTTCGTGAGCTCGATATTTTATGAGGTACAAGCCTCGCGAATATTTTGCAGGCACAAAATTTCACAATCGATCAAGACTTATCTACATAACCAATCTTTACCAAATTGCAATGATCCTAGACCCACTCATTATGACTAATGAAAAAACAAAAAGACACATATTAACACAGAAAATTGATTGCATTATAAAGAACATGAAATATTCACTGACCAAAGAAATAAGTAATCTATAACCAATCACGTTTTGCTACCTGAACGAAATGTGAGACTAGGTTATCTTTCAACTTTACATCTAATAACTGACGGATATGCAAGATATTTTACCTGTTTCCTTCTCTGTCGCAAACCTTTCTAGATGCACCTTACAAAACTAGAAAGGTACTTACTGAACCATCAGGCATATAAGAAAATTCCTCCAGGCATCCACCAGGTGATGCTGAAATTAGAACTCAGTCAAACATTTGTGTTGTTCAGCTAACATGATTAGCAGCTGTTCCTGAAGCCATGCATATGCAAGCAGGAACATATGAGCTCATGCCAGGTTATTAAAATTTCATAGCAAGGCAATGTTCCTAAAGTATCAAGAAGTAACTCACCTGCCGCAGGAACCCTGACGTGAGGCACCTGTGCAGCCAGCCCTGAGGGCGATGCAGAGAGTAAATGCAGGATAGGGTTCCATATAGAAAAGCTAGATATGCACACAGCCAACTCACCTGCCATAGCATTGCTTGACCGGGGAATGTGCGGAACGACTCCTTGGTTGGCTGTAAATATACGCAGTGCATTTAGGTTAGTTTGTTTCAGGTGTAAAAGGCTGCATGATTGTCAACTCACATTTCATTTCCTGGGGATGAGGTCCAAGCAGCCCTGGGCGTGCTATAAATACAAAAAATAACAAATTTGACTTCCACAAAGACCCATACATTCAACTAACTTACATCCTGCTGTGGGTGCTGCCCTGGATGTAGAAGCTTGGCACTGTTTTACAACTTGACAGGGTTCAGCGAGCCCCTCAGTCTCTGGTGCTGTATTAAAAGAAACAGCATCAACAATGTGAGCCAGTTGAAGTGATTGTTTCCCAGCCCTGGAATCCCCATCACATAGTAGATCAGCATTAAATTTCTTGGAAACCTTACGAACGACCCCCATCGAAGTACAAGATTAGTTAATTTAAACACAATGTAGGTGGGCATGACTTTGAATGAGGCGGCAGACTCTTTAGCAAGAGCCCGACTGCTTTGCAAGCTTGATCACTGCGCATTACAGCAGCGCTTCACCGCTTTGCACCAGTGTAGTAGAAGCAGCAGCTGATACGTGAAAGCAGATAGGTTAGCTTACAGGCTCGGAACATTTTGCGACTGAGATAGGTCAGGTAGCTCTCTAAAGCCATCAAAGCCAGTGTCACATCTCTAGAACATCAAGCAGTGTTATCGGTCGTTAGGTTTTCCAGGATGATAGGTTTTTTTCTCCCCCGGTCTTGTAAGCATTTGTAAACAATGCAACAAATCTGACTAATCAAATACCCCTAAACTATAAACAAAATATCTGTACATACCCAGACTACCATGGTCCCCGGCTGGATCTTGGCTTCTACTCTGGAGCTCTTCCACTGTTTAAATAAGTGTCATTCATTTAATGATCATCATAAGAATTGATCATGTTTCTATTGCACAGAATAGGTGCAGAGCAACCACGTTACCCGGGAGCGTCCCCCAAAACAAAATCCTGGCTATATGCCTGGTGCAGACACTACAGATTGTAAATAGAAACTTTCTCAGTAATACACCAACTTCCAAAACAAAATAGTCATTAAAAAAAAAAGAATTTGTAAAGGTTTACCACTCACACCTAAAGATCTTGGATCCCAGGAGTACCTGCTGTGAACGGACTTGCTCTTGTAAGAACTTGTTATCCTCCTGCAGTTCCTTGCTTCGGGACTTCCAAAACTTTGCCTTCTTGCGAGCTTCCTGAAGCTCATTGCTGGAAACCAGCGAGTCATCTGAACTTGACGGGCTGGTGGAAGCAGGCTGCCTTTTGCGCTAAACATTATTTTGGAGCATAAAAGTGTATGTTAATGCCAGACCTCTAGGATTGGAGAGGATAACAAGAATTTCAGTCATCCCAAATGTTTTGCTCTTTGGTGAAAAGTCGAGACTGACGTAAATGACAAACGACGACAAGGAAAGAGAAGGAGAACGTCTCAAAATGAGACATTCTCCAGTCGTCATCTGTTGTTTACCTCAGTCTTGGGTTTTCACCAAAATGTTTAATATACACCAGTTCACATCCTATCCCAAATACACAATTGCAGCATACTCACGGTAACTCGAACGGTGTTCGCATTTTTTTCGTGGGCCTGGCTCAGCTGGTTTTGTAGGATCGCCTCGTAGCTGTCTCTCTTGACAGCCGCCTGATTTTTCTTTATCTTTTTTGCTACCTATGAGTGAAATTGAAGCAAATAAGTATTCACTTAGTATTGGCCACAGTGACATCAATTATAGCACATATACTACAAACTGTGGAGGCTAATAATGCTTGAAGTTGGGCTAGTTGGTTTGACATTGATGAAATGCTGCGCTGCGTAGTTCCATCAATGTAAAGGCTACGGCTCCCGCGACCCATTAAGAGCGTCGGAGCAAGGCACGTGACACCAAGTCACAGGAGCGTGTGTGTCACTGAGCCAAATGCGAGGCCCAGAGGAACCAGCTGTCGTCTGCTGGCCAAGAGTCATCCGCTCCAAAACCAACCAACTTTGGATGAACATCCACCGCTGCAAAATTGCTGTCTGCTAGATTTAGAGCGCTTCGGGAACAGTTCATGATACAACCATACGCTCAATTTACTAGCGAATCTGTGGCGCGCGTTAATTCAAGGGCAAAGTTTTGAGTGGAAGTGGTCAATTACAGGGCTGCAATTATACAAACATTGTTCAAAAACCCCACTGTTCTTGGAAAAGGGTAGATCCGAATTAAGTATCAATAAAAAGTAAAACGTCTTCGTCTTTCTTTCCTGTCGTGTCAATAGAGATGCAATCGCAAGAGTTCAACTGGCATTAAAAGAAAAAGTCTAGAACTACTTTCTAGTCACGGACTGAGCTGTTGCTGTGGCGGTAAAGAGGCCTCCTTCTCAGTCGCCCTCAGTGGGTCGCAGGCGCCGCAGCCTCCACAGTTCGCCAAGTTATGTGAAACATGTATACACCTTTCCAAAAAACGCTCCTAGGCCGCCGCCATGTTGCTGATGCTGATGCAGCTGGTGCGACTCTCGCGCCCCCTATCAGCTAGAAATTTTCTGCCACTCTCTGGGACTGTGAAGACCCGCTCAGCGCAGTTCTTTACCTACGTTTTTGCGGTTTTGCATTCGACGTTTTCTCGCCTCTCTTGCAAGTTTCCGCTTATTTTTTTATGCGTGCTGCGTACCCTTGTTGTGTTGTCTTCCATTGTGAGAAATAAGGCTGGTAAGTGCCTGCCATTCAAGCTTTTCTGCTCGACATTCACGGGAAAGGTGAAGGACGTTGAACGGCCCTCGACGCGATTTTGCGAACATTGTTCTCCCCCCTCCCAGAGATAATCCCCGTAGAATCCTCAGTTATCTCCAAAAATAGTTGTCCGGGTTGGGAACTTGGGCTGAGAAATGGGTCAGTCGCGTTTGTTTCTTTGCCTTGGTGCGGTTGTGAAAAAACGAAGCTCTCCCCGAAACGTGCCCCAAAACGAAGTCATCTCGGATTCCGTCCGATCGTCAAGATGTGACTGTCGTCGACTGTGACTGTGTTATTTGAGATCGTTCTCAAATAAATTCTTTTCGGATAACGCTGCATCGTGTGGTACGTACGATATATTGTTCGAATGTGAACACTTCCTCAATTGTATGTCCGCGTACTGTCCATCGGTAAACACGTTAGTTGTGAGTGTGAAAAATGCATGTCTTTCGGCCCTTTTCTGTTGCAATTTATTTTTGACAGCAAAACGCTTTGTCGTTTCACATGCAGCGAATCCCGCTGCGCCGTCAAAACTTATCGTAAGAAAAAAAATTAACTAGAACTATACATTCCAGTCGCATTCGTTCTGTCGCGCGCATACCAAACAAATTAGTTAACAGTTTTTTTATGTTGCTTTTTTGTGTTTTCAAATGTGGTACAATGCTTTCTCAATGTCCTCGGGAAAATACATGTACCAGGAGACACAAAATGTAGCGGGAAAAGGCGATAATTTAGCCGCCAGCAGCGTTTGAAAATGCGCCTACGCAAGCTGCGCCTATTGAGATCACAGTCCACTAAGTTAGGGTTAGGAGGGACGCCGGTGAGAGTCTAGCCTCAAACTCAGTGACTGGGCTCGAAAACGGTTGGTTGCCCCTGGGGTCGAGTGTTTTTTGGAAAGGTGTATAGTATAAATGTTTCCCAGAAATCACAAGCTTGAGAATTTTGCATAGTGAAAAGAAAACTCGTGAACTGGTCACTTCTGAAAAACGTAAATTGGAACTATCAGTTAGCTGCTTTGGCTTACGCCAGTCTCAAACATGGGCCAGTGACATTTGTTTGGGAAAGGGGGTAGAGGCAGAAACATCAGGTGGTGCTCATGCTGCATTTTGCCTGAATGTCTCTCACTAAATGGAGTAACAAATAAATGTGGCTAGCATTTATTTGTCAGATATAACTAGCGGCCAGATGTTTAGACTCTAAAAGGTTCCATTTTAGGTTCAAAAAAGTGTTAATAACCCTGTAATAGATAAGGGCAAAATCAGTCAGTGAAACAGTAATATAGCACAAATGTATGCAAAGCAGATGCATACATAGATTTCGCTCAGAAATGCTCACGCATTTAGAAAGATGCGTAGAGCCGGGCATGGAGCCGACTCGCCGAAAGACCCTCCCGACACGGACCACACACTCCACCCTATATTTTACTGCCAACCCCCTGGAAGCTTGAGCGCAAGGAAATGTTCTCCACTGCATAAATCGGAAGAGTACAGCTATATGCACAAGATCGTGCACCTTGACCAGAAATGGCTGTACGCACGACGCAGAGAGGTCATGGCATTTGGGTCACTCTCTTCGGATGGCGCGTGTATCACTGGAGAGCGTGTTAACCCAACCCCCGCCTGCGTACACGCCGCTTTACGGCGACAGTGTGTGGCTGCAAATTACAAAACTATTAACCCACTTGCCCCCCCCCCCCCACCCTGTACTCCAAGCCCCGCAACCCCCATTGCACCTCCGGAAACGGAGTTCCAACCATTTAGTTCAACAAAGTTTTGCCGACAACATTCTTTTTTTTGTCTTTTTCCAGTGTTAATTGTAAAAAGAAATGTCGTAAATATCGGCACATGCTTGACAAAACAATGCTATGTTCAGGAAAAAAAAAAGAAAAAAGCCCACACTGTGGATCGAACCGGGGTCCGCTGCATACATTAAAGCAGACACCTTACCATAGAGCTACGCTACCACTTCGGAAACTCGTTCTAACCATTCCAGGCACATAGCCAGGATTTTGGTTGGGTAAGGCATGACAAAATGCTGTAAGAGGGATAGGGGGGCGAGGAGGCCCCAGCAGTATGGAAGATTTTGGCCTCCTCCCCCCTTGGCTACGTGCCTGAACCATCCGTTTCGCGTCGTGCGTATAGCAATATCCGGTGGGAGGTGCACAAGCTCGTGCATATAGCTTTGCTCAAACCGGAAAGTGAAATGAGGTTGGGGATATTACCTTCTTTCGTTTTTGGGTAGACGTCTCCGTCTCGTCCTCCGAGCTCACCTCTGCGGCCGTTAGTCTTGGCACTGGGACCCTCTTAGGGCATTCGCGCAGTTCTTCTTCGGTAACTACAAAATTGACAGGGCGAAAATTTAGCGGAAATACAAGCACCAAAGAGGCCTAATCGCGGCCTATAACGAGTGCTTACCGCCGAGCATAAGAATTTGCGCAGTGTAATCCCCAGTGTTCTCACTGTCCACGTTGTCTGTCCACAGCACCGTGTAGTGAGCCTTGTTGTTGAAGTCAGTTTTATGAACTGGGTTGAAGTTTCGTATATTATCGACGTGGATCACATGGCGGCGCCTGTCCAGGTCATCCACAAACCGAACCAGCGCGTACATGACGGTTCTCGATCCGAATCCAAAAACAAACGTAAAATGACTATATGAAGAAACAACTGCAAGAACCACTGAACACAATATTTAGGAAGCCGAAAGATAATGCAACAGGAAAACACAAAACGTGCGGAGAGTTCGGTCGAATTGAGAAGCGAGCTCCGCTCTACCGTCCACAAAGGCTCAGGCTGTAAGCTCAGGTACTCAGGGTTGCCAGCTGCTAAACTATTTTCTTCTTCTTTTAGCCACAGAGCGTTTCCCTGTGCCACGTTGGGCTCCTCCAAAGCATCAGAGTTGATGAAATACGAAATTGAACTATAATAAATCAACTGAATAAGCCATTATTAAACTAATATATCTTTTGTCCTTTTTTTTTTTTTCTTGTTTCCATAATTTTCTTATTTTTATTTTGTCGACAAAAACCAAATCCAAAGACGCAGCCTCCGGCCTACCGAGGCACCGAGGTCTGGCTGGTCTGGCAGCGAGTTTTGAGGGACGACTGTTGACGTAAAATTACCTAGTGGCGTGTGGCGACGTTTTATACCGCCGACATGTCTGGGACGCCAAAGCGGCGCAAGCTCTACTTGGAGCCGTTCTTCGACGGAGCCGGCCTACCGAGGTCGACAGAGCACCGGTCTCTTTGTGCCGAGCGATCCAACACACAAACGAAACCTGACGACAGTGGAGTGTCGACCGTACCTGCGGGCAATGGGCCGCCCGGCCCCGGAAATTCTTCACTGAGCAACAGTGATTTAGACGAGGGAGACGAATGTGAGGAGTCTGGCACACAGGTGGCAGATGAGCAAGTCTGCGAAGGCTCTGCAAATGAGCAA